ACATATAAGAAAATGTGATCATATTTTCTCAGTTGTTTGAATTACGTATTTAACTTTAACTGTTCTCTGTTATGATTAAGATAATGAAGTATTTGTAATTATGATGTCCTAGTGGAGTTTCATCTTATATTTCTAGGAAGTGAGATGTTGATTTTTTTTTTCTTCAGGTAAAATTTTGGAGAATTGAAGAGATTTGAGTGGAATGGATCTAGCACTAGTGAAGTTGCATAGAAAAAGTGTGTCTTAATGACAGTGGAAATCGGACCGCCACGCCATGCCATGAATTACGAGGTATGTTGTACAGGAGGGGAGTACTTTATAGGATTTATATTGGTTGTTCTCTGCTTTTAGACTCATTTTTCAGCTTTTAAATTTTGGGTTTTTGATGCATGTGGTTGATGTGAAGATGGGTTGTTTCTTCAATTGATACATGCCTGTCTCTTTCAGCCTGCATGTGGCTTCCTCTTTGATCCTGCCTGATTGCCTTCCTACTTTACCATCAATACAGGTGGCATTGTTCTTGCATTGTAAGCATGGGGCTTCCATTTGTCAAAGAAAGTAAAAATGTTCGCTATTCCCTTAGCATGAAATTTTTCACTTAGTAATGTAAGATAAGGACCGGCCATGGTAGCCAAGCGGGGTAAGGCATGAACTGTCTTCCCTCGCATGGAAACCGGAATTGTGGGTTGGAATCCCACTGATGGTATAGAAGTTTAGTTTGTGTGTATGCATTTATCTGTGTTTGTGTACAGGTAGAGGCCTTTCGACGAGCTGATCACCTGCCCAAGTAGTCCTACCGAATGCGTAAGATCTGGGAAAATCGAAGTGAACGAAGAAGGTGATGGGGGTAGGCCTAGGCTCTCTGCGGCTTTAGTGGGATCGAAAAAGATGATGTAAGATAACGAAATGTGATGTAGATGATTTCATTTGTCACTGAATTTGATGACTTTCATATAGTGTTTGACTTGCATATTTGATTAACCATGTTCTCTCTCTCTCTCTCTCTCTCTCTCTCAATTCAGGTAATCAGTATTTGTCATTCTTAAGTTTCTGTTGATCGTCAAGATATATTTCTGTGAAGCAAGTGAATTTCTTCTCTTACAGGCCATATTCTGGAGACTAAGATATCGTGGGAAGTTGCTGATGATGGTAGCCCTGTGTCACCAGCAATAGAAATCAGCGGCAATGTGACAAGTCAAACTGAATGAGGAGGGAAACATCAATGGAATGTGGTGAAGAGTGTTGTTGAGAATTATTCAGCTACTGGGTATGTTACAGAGACATAATGGGTCCTGGTGTTGGTGGAAATCATACCGCCACACCATACCACCATTTACAAGGTGACGTACATGAGGAATCCCTTCTGCGTGAGTTATGTTAGTAGTTGTGTGCACGTGTTACGTGTTGAATTTTTGTTAACATATCTTAGTTATGTCAATGGTATCTTTCTTCAAGCGAGAGTCGCCTGATGAGTCTCAGATATCTGCATGTGCTTGCCTTAGTCTCGATGGCTGTCTGCATGCTTATTGTTCAGTATGTATTAACCTGCTTTTTTATTCTTCTTGTTTCCTGCCTGTCTCAGCCCACCTTCTAGCTGGTATAGTTCTTAACTAGAATGCATGCGGCTTCCATTGGCATGAGGAAGAAGGAAAGACACAGTATTGACTTAACATGAATTCTTTCAGTTATGATGTGACATATAAGAAAATGTGATCATATTTTTTCAATTGTTTGAATTACATATTTAACTTTAACTGTTATCTGTTATAATTAAGATAATGAAGTATTTGTAATTATGATGTCCTAGTGGAGATTCATCTTATATTTCTAGGAAGTGAGATCTTAATTTTTTTTTCTTCAGGTAAAATTTTGGAGAATTAGAAAACCTCCAAGGAGTTTGCTGCTGTGGATGCTTTTCGACACCCTTTTATGAACTGAGTTGCAATGAAACAGATCTGACAATGAAGATGCAAAAGCTTCAGTGATGTGTAGTGTTGAAGAGATTTGAGAGGAATGGATCTACTACTAGTGAAGTTGCATAGAAAAAGTTTGTCTTAATGACAGTGGAAATGGGACCTCCACTCCATGCCATGAATTACGAGGTATATTGTACAGCAGGAGAGTACTTTATAGGGTTTATATTGATTGTTCTCTGCTTTTAGACTCATTTTTCAGCGTTTAAATTTTGGGTTTTTGATGCATGTGGTTGATGTGAAGATGGGTTGTTTCTTCAATTGATACATGCCTGTCTCTTTCAGCCTGCATGTGGCTTCTTCTTGATCCTGCCTGATTGCCTTCCTACTTTGCCATCCATACAGGTGGCCTTATTCTTGCATTCTAAGCATGGGGCTTCCATTTGTCAAAGAAATTAAAAATGTTCACTATTCCTTAGCATGAAATTTTTCATGCAGTAGTGTATGATGATGACCGGCTATGGTAGCGAAGCGGTGTAAGGCATGAACTGTCTTCCCTCGCCTGGAAACCAGAATTGTGGGTTGGAATCCCACTGATGGTATAGAAGTTTAGTTTGTGTGTGTTAATTTATCTGTTTTTGTGTTCAGGTAGAGGCCTTTCGACGAGCTGATCACCCGACCAAGGATTCCTACCGTATGTGTAAGATCGAGGAAAATCGAAGTGAACGGCGAAGGTTACGGGGGTAGGCCTAGGCCCTCTGCGGCTGTAGTGGGAACGAAAAATATGAAGTAAGATAAGGACATTAGATGTAGTTGATTTCATTTGTAATTGAATTTGATGACTGTTATACACGTATTTGAATTTTGAATCAGGGTTTAGATTTTTGTGATTTTTGTTTAGATTTTCTACTGTCCTCGCTATGTTATTACCCCCATTTTCATCGGAGCTACTGTCTCTTTTACCGTCTCTGGCCACAATTCTTTGTTCCCCCCTATCAATACTGCTCTCTCAATCACTATAACTAAGCATCTCACAAAGCAGGTCAGCTGGCTCATCGGAGAAAAATTTGTTCTTGTCCACAACTCACCACTAGAATAGAAGAATAGAATATATGAGGCGTGGGCCTTTTCGGCCATTGCACCATGACCTTAGGTCTTGTGTGCTTCCCCTTTTTTAATTATTCACTCAGCAACCCCACGCTTCGGATGAAGCGCAGGATCTTGGACGTGGGGGCATCAAAATAGTCACTTGGTTCCATGAAGTACTGGCCCAAGTGACGTAATCTTAAATAAGCTAATGCCTCACATTCACACAGGACGTGTGTGGCTGTTTCGTCTTCTATCTGACACCTCTCACAGGTGGGACTATCACTCAGTCCCAATTTGAACAGGTGTCCTTTGAGGTGACAGTGTCCTGTAAGTAGTCCTACCACCCATCGTAGCTGGTTCCTGTTTAGCTTCAACAGTTCCTTCGCTCTTTTAGCAGAAGGTCCTCATATGAGTCCCTTTGCTTGCCTGAGTCCAGTTAAGGATTCCCAGTAGTCCTTGTGTTTCATGTTAGTCCAGTCCCTGATTGCCTGTTTGGCAACTCCTAGACAGATGCCACAGGCTGGTTGAGGTCCTATGAACGGGTGTTCAGCTCCAATTTTTGCTAATTGGTCTGGTGCTTCATTTCCAGCAATACCCTCATGCCCCAGCACTCATATCAGTTGTACCCTGTTATGTTTGGCCAGTTCCATGAGGGTTTGGTGGCAATCCCAGACCAATTTTGAATTAATCTGGTGTTTGTCAAGCGCTTTAAGTGCAGCTTGGCTGTCAGATAGAATGTAGATGTTCCTATTTCTATAGTTCCTATCTAAATTCTCCATAATACATGCTTTAATGGCTTATACTTCCGCGTGGAATACTGTTGTTTACCGCCCAAGGCGGAAACTAAGTTTCCGCCTCGTGCCATGGCAGTACACACCAGCTCCACTGCCCTTATTTGTCTTGGAACCATCTGTATACCAGATCAGTCCCCCTTTTTTTGTCGGGCTGCAACCCGTTTTCCCATTCACTCCTGTCAGGAAATCTGACCGTGAAGGGTTTTTCATATACATGTCTCAGTATCATTTTGTCAGACCCCATTTGCAATATGGGTTCTTTTTTTCATGTCCTGAGTCATGTCTGCATGACCGAAACCATCAGATCTAGGTTTCCATTGTCCACTGCACTGGAGACGGCAAATTCCTGCCTTGGCCTCCGCATCCATCTGTATATGCAGTGGGGGGAGTCCAAGAAGTATCTCCAGTGCAGCTGTTGGAGATGTTTGAAATGCTCCTGTTATACCTAAGCAAGCCACCCTTTGCAATTTGCCAAGTTCTGTCTTGCTAGTCTTGAATTTAACTCTGGGCCACCATACTGTGACACCATAAGTAATTATGGGTCTCACAACCGCAGTATATACCCAATGTACAATGTGCGGCTGTAGTCCCCAAGTTTTACCAAACATGTCCCTGCATGTCCAAAAAGCCTTATAGGCTTTCTTAATAACTTTGTCCAGCTGCTTTCTCCATGTCAGTCCCTTGTCTAATACTAGTCCAAGGTACTTGACATCGCTGGAGAGCTGGATTGTCTTATTGAAGAGAGTCGGTTCCTTAAGACCCTTTATATTTCTCTTCCTAGTAAATGGTATAACTACCATCTTGTTGGGATTGATGGAAAGACCTGTTCTTTCACACCATTGTTGGACCATGTACAGAGCTGACTGAAGATGCTCTGATACGGTCGAAAGGAATTTTCCATTTATGACAATTGCTATATCATCAGCATATCCTACTGTATAATACCTATCATCATTAAGTCCCCACATGAGATCGTCGATGACCAGACTCAACAGCAGAGGCGAGAGTACGCCCCCCTGCGGACATCCCCTAGCCACGGACGCCCCCAGGGTCTCTCCCGATAATGTAACAGCTATGGTTCTGCTTTCCAGCATAGCATTGATCCATCTGCATATTGCAGGCTCTATGCCATGCTTTCCAGAGGCCTGTTTGATTACATCAAATGAGGTCCTATCAAAGTCTCCCTCTATATCAAGGAATGCTCCGAAGGCAATATCCTTGTGTTCAATTGCACTTTCTATGCGTGTTATCACATTGTGTAGTGCACTTTCAGTAGATTACCTGTTTGGTAGGCATGTTGGTTTCGGTGTAGAGGATAAGTCCTTAATGCCCCATCCCTAACATGCCTATCTACTAGTTTCTCCATCGTTTTCAAAAGGAAAGATGATAGGCTGATAGGATGATAAGCCTTAGCCTCGGTATAATCAAGTTTCCCAGGCTTTGGAATAAACGTCACCTTAACTTGCCTCCAGGCTGTGGGGATGAATCCATATGCCAAGCAGGCTCTATATATGCAGCATAGGTGTGGAACTAAAAGTTCTGCCCCATGCAGCAAAAGTGCAGGTACAATTCCATCTGTTCCTGCTGATTTAAATGGTTTAAAAGTGTTCAGAGCCCATCTTATCTTTGATTGGTTAATTATGACTTTGTCCAGGTTCCAGTCTGCCCTGTTCATCTTGCTTTGGCAAGTGTCCAGGTTCTGCTGACCCTGCCCATCGTTCAAACTGTCAATCAATTTTGAATCAGGAAAGTGGACCCTGAATAATTCATTCAGCGTTTCCCTTCCTGTTTGAGTATACTGTCCGTTAGGAAGCTTAATTGTGCTAACCTTGTTGGTTGCCTGTTTTGCCATGATCCTCATGAGTCTGGCACCGCCTGGTACATCATTGATCTCCTGGCAGTGTCTTCTCCATGAAGATCGCTTGGCTTCCCTTATTTCTTTATTGTAACAAGTAAGGGCTTCCTTATAAGTGTCCCACTGCCCTGTTCTTTTAGCTGTATTAAAGAGCCTTCTCATTTTGGTTCTAAGCCCACTCAGCTGTTTATTCCACCAAGGCGCTCTCCTTGGTCCGCGAGTGGTCCTAGCCGGACAATTCTGGTTAAAGGATGAGATAATAGCCCATTGCAACTGGTCAACAGACTGATCAAAATCCTTTATTGTGTGTATATTACGCGATATGGCCTCTAGATTTACCTTTAGGTCGTCTTTATAAGACTCCCAATTGGTTCTCTTAGGATTCCTATAAGTAGTTTGATGTACTGTGATGTTACTTATTTTAAAGCATATATATCTGTGATCCGACAGAGATGGCTCATCAGATACATGCCATTTACTTACCAGGTTCCCTATATTATTTGTCCCTAGTGTCAAATCAATAACCTCCTTCTTATTGCAAACCACAAAGGTAGGTTCGTTACCATGGTTTAGAATATTCAGGTCGAACTCACCAGAAATTCCATAAAGCTCTCTCCCCTTGGGTTAGTGCTGGTGCTCCCCCACAAGATGTGGTGCGCATTGGCATCACACCCAATGATGAGTTGCTTTTTCCTGCTAAAGCAGTAGTCTGTGATGTCCCTCATTTCCTTAGTTGGTGGTGGTCCATCCGAGTCATATGGAAGGTATACTGAAGCAACTATCAGCTCCCTGCTGCCTTCTCAATATGGATATGTTATCCTTACCGCCGCTGTATCCCTTGAACAGAGCTCCAGCAAAGGCAAGGCATTAACATGATTCCTGATATAAACACAAGATCTTGCATTATTACTGGGTACAACAGAGTAAACTGTTCCCCCTGTATTATT